AATTCTTGGAACTGTAAGGTTGTCCTCAGCTAGTAGAAATCAGTTTAACAATAAGATCTTTCCTGCTATGACTAGAGAGCTATCAGCTTGGTCTATCAGAAGTCACCCGGCATTTTTTAATGGGATTTTTTAGTGCAGCTAGTGCCTTTATCCTATGCTATCATGTACACACTACCATTCTAAAAACAGTAAAGAAAATAATAATTATCCTCTCCCATTCACTTCTTCTTAATTCTCAACATAAAGAAGCTGCAATGACTGATCAGTGGAAATTGTTGCAGTTCCTCAGGAGCTTTTCTATTAGAAAATCTTTTGATCACTTGTGCCGACTACCAAGACCAGGTGCACAATTCTGACCCCCTGAGCTACCGTAAGAGATGGCACAACTCCTCTGGAAGCCAGGCTGGGCCTAAATGCATGCAAATCCCAGGGTCTGAAGACTTACAGAAGACAACAGACTGCAAGACAAAACAGAAGTCTCTGCACTGAAACCTTTCTTAACCAGCATGTAAATGTCTCATGAATCAAGCAGTGTTATAATTCATTAATATTTCTAATTAAACTTTCTAATATACTTTCTGTTTGATCTAGGGAAATGTACATACAGTTTCCAAGTTTTGGTTCATGTTATGGAATGATAAAATTGCTATAGGTTTGTATACCACTGTAAATATGTAACTACCTTTGTTGACCATTACTGTAGGACATTTTTCCCTGGAAAGGTATTAAGAGAAACCGGCAAATTTAATGACTGGGCTCTGGCTATACTACAGGAATACTAAAAGAGCAAACGAAAAGTATAACCTTGCCTTGTTTGTAGGGAAGGGAGGATAGAGGGTAAAAGTATACAAATTTCAGGTTAAAGAGGGAAAGATGCACTGAAGGATTTAGCCAGGAGCAAATAAAAGATGAGCATGTTTGGTCAAAGACTGTAGCTCAAGGGCAAACCAGAAAGACACAGGACCATGTTCCACACAGAACCCAGAGGGATTAAAACACTCGAAGTGGGTAAAACTTCTGGGGTTTGTTATTTTAATATAGATAATAAATGTGTTATGTCATACTGTTGCAGTGAAGGACAACAATGGCTTCACAATCCCTACAAGCATTTTTAGGCATGCTCTCATATCTGTCATGGTCTCCCTCAAAAAAAAAATCTCAAGAAAAACACCCAGAATTCTGGGAAATTGTTTTTAACCTGTAGTGAGATCTTGAGATAGCTGCTCAGTTGCACAGTTGAACAGTGGATTCAAGCACAAGCGTGAGAGTGCTAAAATATGAAACCTTCTTTCAGGTGTGTTCTTGAGACTGCAGCTCTGGGGCAGTAAGCAGATTCTGTTTAGTTTCCAAAGATATAAAGCACACTGGATCCACGGAGTGCAGCCCAAAACTTCAGTATGGTAAGTAATCAACTGAAGAGGGTAACCAGATCTCTAACAAATACTATTCAGATTCTCATTTTAAATTGTTCATGTTTCCAGTTCAAACTGTATCAGGACAAAAGATTCTTTTGAAAAAATCTTAACCTCAAATTCCTTTTGATGAAATACAAAACCAGTATAGTGGTAAGCCACAGTGGGGATTTTTCAGTGATAGCAAAGGATCCTTCTTGTCACCTGAATCTATTATTTTCTATTTATGAGAATATTCTGATGTTACAGCTCAATTCCAAGCCTTCATTGACAGTATATATAGGAAGCACTACTAAGCAGTCAAGGATTAAGAAACAGTAAACTTAAGGATGCCCATACATCTCAATGAATGCCTTTCTACCAGTTTACACACCAATTTCATCGGCACATGCTGCATTCAAATAACAATAAACCTGCTATTTCTTCTACAGCCAGAGGTACTTAGGAGTTACTAAAATTGGACTCATTATAATCCGAGGAGTTTTGTTTAATTTTTTATGCAAGTTTTCTGCTCCCTAAAATATTTATTTTAATTTTGACAAATAATTCAGATTTTTTTTTTAACCTGTCACATAGTTTTTATTTTCTGGGGGCAGAGTCTTACAAATTAGTGCATGCTGACCTGGACAGGGGCACAGACCCAGAACCCCTCGTCTCTCCTCAGTTAGCTGGGTGAGAAGATACTTCAGGCCAGAAGCCCCGCAAATTGTGCTGCTGCAGCCCTGTGTCTCAGCTGCTATGTGCTGGCTCTCACATGAACCTGGTTGAATCTATATTTGTGTACGTAATAAAAAAAAATTCTCTCAAAGCTATGAATGTAGATGCTGTGTCAACTTCTGACTGTTGTGACCAATTGAAAACCTAACACAATCTTAAAAAAATCTGCATTAAAGACTTTTACAGTCTTGGGTACTAACATTTTATTTACCCTCCTCCTACAGCAATTGATAATAACAGTAAAAAAGACTATTAATAATTTACATTATTTTAAAATGTTGCTTGCCCCAGGTAAGTGGAATTTCGCAGAATAAATATTAACCTGGATTTAAATTGAAGTTGAAAGAATGAGATTTTCAAATATCTGCACTCAAATGATCTGTGAATACAGAGAAGTGGTTAAAGAAAATCTTGTTAACTTCAGCCAGACCAAAGACTTAGGTCAATATTGACATCTTTTAAGCATCTCGTAAGTCTCTTGCAGATAGATATGCATTATCAGTCCCATAACACAAACCAATTTTTTGCTACAGAGAACAGTGTTTATTGTCACTGCTCTTTCAGACACACTTCAGTGTGGACACAGCTAGTTGCTAAACCCACTAGCAAGTTGAATCATTTAAATATTTCCTTTGTGAATTGACTACAGAAGCATACTATTTGTTTAAATGGTCAATCCTTAAATGTGAAGCTTTTCGTTTCTACTAATCTTTTTCTCCAGAATCAACATTTCCTAAAAAAAACCCAAAAATGTAACAGGATTGCAAACATGAACCAATGACTACCTGAACCAATGTCAAGTTCAGAGAAGACAAAGAACTCACCTATTTAGTATAGAACTTACAATTTCTCCCCCAATAACTGAAGATCATTTTTTTCCTCAGAAAGGATTTTGACCAAATCGTATATTCAGTTCATACTAAGGCTAACACGTTGCTCACATAACACATAGCAAGTCACATAAAGATACAGCAAGTGTTTAATCTTCAGTGGAAAGTCTAGTGGTTAACCATACAAACAAATTATTTAACATTTTCCTCAGTAAATCATTGCATTTACATCTCCAGAGTGGTTAACATCTGCATGTCATTTCAGTAACACATAGTTATGGTCAAGACATCCAGAGTCTGTATCCCCTAAAGCAAAAATGGAGGTTAATGTTCTAAGGCACTTGATTCAACCAGACTAATAAATTTTCCTTCCCCTGTAGATGATCTAACTGAGGTAATTTAGACAACCAGAGCTGGAAAATTTACGCTCAGCTAAATGAATCATGAGTCCATGGAACGTTTAAATTCTAAAAAAGACTAAGGGTAGCAACATGCAAATTGACAAAACTGTTGAAGAAATGCAATTGCAGGAAAAATAAATATAACTTGGGATGTCTGTAAAGAGGTATCGAGCATAGGAACAAGAAATAAAAGTAATTTTTCCTCTGCCTATGAGGCTAGTGATAGTATTTCCAGTGTTTTACTGGAAGACCACTGAATAGCTCACAGTCTTTCCCATTAGGAACATACAGAGAGAAAGAAAGAGTTGTGTAAGAGAGGAAAGATCACAAACACATATGCAAAAGAAGAATAAAGTCAATAAGACAGGAATAATAATAGAAAGTGAAAATACAACATGTTTGCAGCAAATTAGAATGGCATATCTAGGCACAAATGACATGCACTAACTTAAATACTCATCAGAAATAAACTTCTCAATGGAAAGATGAAGTATCTTGTTGAATAATCCATCTTTGGACTTAAAAGTCATTGATGCTTTGACATATTAGGTTGGTGTAGTGTTTCTTTAAAAACTGAATGTTGTAATCCCTTACATGGCAGAAAGCACTTTTTGCAATTTCCCTTATGCTTAATATATTTGTATCAAAGATAATTTACTTCTGTGTTTCCAGAGGCAGACCAAAAGTAACTGAAGGGTTGAAGGGTAAGAGAACAGGTTTATTTATTGCTCTGATAAAACTGGTAGTAGCACACTGGCTGTAATTGCCTCTGTACAACTCTCCTGCTACAATCACTATTTCAGTAACTCTGGGTTAGCGGATAGACTACTTAATCCAAGAAGTCTTCTCCCTGTCTGTTGAACTTCTCTGAAACTGTAAACAGGGTGGTCCACATTGCCCAAGAACTGCATGACAGGACCTTCTCTACAACAATATTTCTTATAATACTGCATACTTCAGGAGCAAAATCCTCCTCTTAAATCTACATGATAAATTTTGATTGGGGCAGTCCACTCTTCCTATTGCTGTGAACATAAACTGAAGTTTGCAGTGCACGAAAAATCAAATTGACAGTTATCAGAACTTGATAGAATAGCTCCCTCCTTTGATTTTTTTTTTTCCCCTAAAGTTAATACCAAAGAATCTGCAGTTGACTATTTGTTCCTCATCTAGCCATTTTGCTTTGTTGACTTTTTCTAAAAGATAAATGTATCTATGAAGTACCACAATCTATGATAATTTGGAAACTGGCATCATATAGTTGAAAAAAAAATCTAAAGGAAGTAAAACTTAGCGTGATTTATACTTAAAACAAGGGAGGCTACTACAAAGATGTTCTATAGTGGCATATAGATTTCAATGTAACCTGTAGATTTCCTCAGGAAAGTATGCACACCGTCAATCTCATGGGCAGAATTTGGCAATGTATTATTTACAAGCAACACAAAGCTCTCTTATTTAACTTACCAAAATGCTAATGCTACAATTTCCAAAGAGATTCACATAACTCACACATCCAAATCCCACTGAAATACGAGCATCCAGTTCAAATTAAGTTTTTGAACACCTCTATGAATTGCCCAAATCCCAAAATGCACTATAATTCCTTTTGCTAAGATAGGTTTTCATTATTGTATCACCTTTCTCATAGAGTTCCTCCATTGCTCTCCAGGTTTCAGCTCGGACCTCTCGACTGCTTTTACCTGGAACACGTGCATCAGGCCAGTGTATTAAATAAAGATCTAAAAAAAGAAACAGAACCAGACTACTCATTAAAGTGTCCAAAAAATACATTATATCAAACCATGTGAAACAGCATTTTCCCTCCATAATGGCCCCTAACATATTATCACCAAAACAGTTACAATTACTACTCCATGATCATTACTGTATACATCTATTTAGTCTTAATAAACAAAGTCTACAACATCTCAGTAGCAACTAAAAATAGCAGAAGTTGCACATGTGCCACAGGTTTAGGTCACTGTAATCAGAATTTCTTGGTCACATATGCACAATCAAAGGGATTTTGGTCACTGGAACTAAGAGTGGACTACTGCTGAAGTGCTACAAGTCTTCAAAGTTATGGAAGATAAATACGTTTGGCAATTCTGTAGATATTTTATACAACCTCAGCAGCGGGTCTGTTTTTTTCCTTTCTAAAGAATACTTCCATTTATGCATTTCTGTTGGAAATTACAGCACATTCTTTCATGCAGGTTTTTTGCTAAAATTTTTTGGCAGCATTTGTGATTTTTTTTTCTATGCACTTTTAAAAATATTATTTTAAGGGAACAAAATTATGCTTCACTACATTTTATGAATTGTTAGCATAATTTCAAACACAATTAAGATTTACTGTTGCTGAAATTATCCAAGCAACTCCTGAAACTGGCTGTCTCAGGAAAGCATTTTTCCTGTGTTGTCTCCATGGAAGAAAGGACTATCCTTCTACTTAAAAAGGAAGCATTTCCAACATAAATTAAAAATGAGAAATTTACATGTATTGGACTCAAAGTTTCAAATCAGATTACCTAAATTTCAAAAATGATAAGATCTAACACACCTTTTGTAGACACTGCTAGACATTCTGAAGGAGAAACTCAGGAGATACTTTGAAAACAAGTTCATTTCTATTTAAATTCTAACCACAGATGAAACAGGTAACTGCAGGCATCCCAGTCAAAGAGGTGTTGCTCTTTGCCACATGCATTAGTCTGACACAAAACAGGAAAAGGAAATAAATGCATGGCGGAGATGGGCATCATTGTCTTTGTCCTTTGGTAGATCAAATATAAAGTAAAGAAGTAATAATAAATAAATAAACAAAAGACTCATTTGCAATGAGCAGAGTTTTTTTGTTCTTTGAATGCATCCCACCAATCATTTACAGCACCTCTTTGTGAAAACACAGATCCTCTGCCATAATTTTTTTTTTATTCACCCTTAAGGACTGCACTTTACTATGCCACTGGGCTAGTATACTAGCTTTCAACCTCTATAAATTCAAATTCAACCTCGATGCAAAAGGTAACATGAAATTCACTATAATACATCACTTGCCATTTGGGTACATCATTGCAACACTGTTAAATAGAGTATTTTGTTTAGACTTAGAATCTAATTAGAACACTATAGAATTTTGTACAGTAAGATACATTACAGATGTATCGAGGAAAAACTATTTTGGGTGTATCACAAAAATCATGAGCTAAATTTGCACTTTCTGATAATCAATAGCCCATTAGACTTGTAAACACACTTACTTAGACAAGCAAATATCACTTATATATAATGATTTGCAGCATCTGGATTTATGTCATGTTTAAAGAGAAAGTTGCTCATTCTTTGCTCTTATATACATAAAATCCACTCCCAATTTAGAAAAGAGTTAAAAAAACCCACATGCAATCTTCTTTATCACTGATCTGTGAATAATTACTTCTTCTCTAATTGCTCTGAAAAAGAAGTTGTATTTATTATGAATAAATACCAATACATGGTATTAGAATAAATACAGATTTCTGTGACATTTAAGTGAAAACTAATATTGGGATATTGATGAAAGCATTTGGTAAGGTTATGTTCAAAACTCAGGACTACTCTAATTCTGTTGCCAATAAAGTCTCTTTTAAAATTTCCACTGACTTACATTAGATGCAATCCTATTAGCATTAGGAATGGCTAATATCAGGTGTTCATTTTGATCCAAAATTATATATGCTATCAGCAGTACTTACTGCATAGACGCTGCCATGTTTTAAACTTTTTTCTTGGATAAAGCAAATGTCAGATATAAGTAGGTGTAAGTTACTGGTATCTGATGCCTACCTCACGTGAAAATGCAATAATTACCTATCTAACTGCTGCTTGTTATGTTCTCCAAATCAGACTAAGAACTGCTTAACTATGCAGAAACATGCAGCAACAAAAAATAATCATTACCTTCAGCAGAATTTCACCAAAAGCTACTTTTCCAAAAGCCTGAGTGTTTAGTTAGACATCACAGTTTGCAAATGTTCACAGAAATAGCCACCTCATGGATTTTCACATGCAAAGATGCTTTGTACTCAGCCTAAGAAATTGAAGCAGTCTCAGAAGAATTATTTTTAACAGATTTGATAACTGAAAGATCTCTGGACTTGGATATTTAAAGAAATGCAGTACATCAGCCTTCCCTGTATTAGTGTCTGAGACCTCTTGAATGCAAACCTGATTAGCTGTTGGTCCTTTATTTTAGAAAGGTGATGTTACCAGGTGTGTGACATGCATATCATCTTACTATGTTTATTTTAATTTTGGCTTTTTGTTGAAACAAAAATTACTTCACAGTTAGAAATATACGCAGTTAGGGCTAGAAAGCATCTACTGGATCACAAAGTGCAGTGCTCCTAACTGTAAGAAGTGTTCTGTGAAAGATGTGGGGTAAAGGTACCTTATCTCAAGAGATGGAGTAGAAAGGCCTTTCTGCCAGTCACACACAAACCACCCCAGCATAGCTAGAAGTGGAAGGAATACAACGTAACTTGCAATGAGCAATGGAGCTGCTACTCTAGTTAAATAAATTAAGCATAGTTTATTTTAAATTAGGATCTGCTTACTTCTACTGCATCTGTTAGAAAACTTTACATAATACCCGTAGGCCAATAAAAACAGTAAGCACCTCACAAACCAAGGACTACAATTTCATGCTCATTTGTACGCACATTCACACCTACACCCACACACTTTTTTTTTGCTTAAAATATTTCCCCTCCTGGGGGATTACAAGAACACAAACACTCTTGTTTTAATTTTGCAGGCAAGAAATTAGTTTCAAATTATTTATCAAAATAGCTTAAGGTTCTAGTAATCAAGAAATGTGTAACTTTACCACCGGAGGTTTATCAGAACAGACTACGTTTTTATCTGTTAAGAATGATGGGGTTGTGCCTTATAGCATGGGGTAGATTAATCAATACTTTAAGATGTCTTCCAACCGTATTTTTTTTTAAATACTCTTAACTCAAAACAAAAAAACCCCAATGATTCACAGTACCAGGATGCACTTGAGAAAGAAGGAAAAAAAGCTCCAAACATTCACAAATCAAATTTGGTATTTACCAGCTTCACAGACAATCAAGCTGTAGTGGTGCAGTGGTGAGGGCCTGAAGTTCATTCAAATGTCAAAACACAGTGCTGCAGGAAAACTAAAATTAACACATGAACTGCTTTCACAGAGACATTTAAAATAGAGTGGCTTATTACTTCTTAGTGGTTGCAGCACCTACAATCAACGCAGTTCCTCTTAACTCAAAAGTACAGGGACATTTTACACATTTAAAAGCCAAGAGCCTGTTGTCATGGAAGTAAAAGTTTGCAAGTCTACTCAAACTCCTAATAAAATATTAAAAAAAGTCAAAATTCAATAAACAAACCTAGTTTTGAAGAACAAGCCCTGGCTCATATCAAACCTAAAAGCAAAAGTATATTTTTCAATGTTTTGCACAGTTATCTTAATGCAATGATTGTATTTTCCCTGCTTTTCTCAATCGTCACTGCACTTAGTATATACATGATGTATTTTTCTCTCCCATGCAATTTTTTGTGTTTTCTTATTCTATTGGAACAAGGATCAATGTGACGAAACCTCCAAAGTGTTCTGAATTAATATACAATCTGAACTGGGTGTATTATCATAATTCATGTAATTCACTTATTACACTGAATATACTGATAGAAAGTTTGTCCAGCTCCAGCTGGGGATTTGTGATAGTTTAGATTTGCCTGAATGCGACAGACTCTGAACAGTCAAAAGGAAAATAAAATTGTTTATGAATTTGGTAACCCACAAATCACATTCAAGAAAAAGTTACTTTGGAGGTTTGATCCAAATCCCAAGGAATGTTTTCCGCTACTGCCAAACCTGTACGATTTGCTGCCATTTCATATTGGTTTCCTGTGACTGCTAGTTGAGGACGACATTTAGAAAATGCAAGGCGCAGAATATCTGTTACAACCACTGCCCACAAACAATACAAATTTCCAGCTTCTCATGGATATATAATCTACTGATTCGAATAAAAATCCTGGAATGCTGCTCCCCTAATACCATTTGCCCAAAAAGTATTTATCGAAAAGGTTTTAGAACAGTAGTTTACATGGAACACCTTTTCTCTTAAAAGGCTATGACTGCTGTCAACAGTTCATCCGTTTCAACAGCTGGCATTCTATATACTGCCAATGCACAGATTTATCAACTCCTGTTAGATTATTTCCCAAGTTTCTAATTCAGTCTGCATGGATAGACTGTGTAGCCCATAAGGATCCTCAAGAAAATTAACATGACCTTCTCTGGAACAAAGAGCTTAGCTACACATTTAGCTGCCAGGGATTTTACAGCTTTTTCTTCTTGCATTCTTCTGAATGACTAACTTTCCCTCCAATGTAAAGGTCTAACATCACAGATATACTATTTAGGATCTTTCAAATTTCTCTATGAACCATATATCTTTATGGAGATGCTGCAAACCCCCAAATATTTGGTTAATATCATATAATGAAAGCACAAAATTCTGATTTAGGTACATTTCACATACCTTTATTTCACATTCCTATTTCACAAAATAACCTGCCAGCTTTAACACATGCTTTTAACTAAAGAATTTACTTTCCTAAATATAACAGGGCAAATTGCACCTCAGCTTTCCCAGCTCTTTTCTTGTCCTCTCTATGATATAGACTGGCCAGCAGAAAAGGGACACAAAACACAGGTATGAATGAAAACAGCTAGGATATCTATCTAAGCTTAGTTCTACAAGCTTAGAACCATATTTTCAAAACAACCTTCTGCATTTGTTACTTTTGTTAGACTTGTGATAAGCCTCAAATTCCAACAAAAAGCTCTTACTCTAAGCATTCTTGAAACACTGGAAAAGTTCATGTTTCGAGATATTGCCACTTTTGCTTGATAATCCTTCCAATAGCACCTTCCAGATGAGTGCTCTCAGACAGGAGGTACAGGACTCCCTAAAGCATGATGCTTTCTATGAACCCCATGAAACACACCATGTATTGTACTTCCTCTAAGGGTCTACTTCACCAATATATATAGCACTAACCACAGAACTCAACCTTATCTCTTTCACACGAGTGCAGATCATACTGTGTTTAACAAAACTGGTCTGTAGAGTTGATCCAACAGAGATTAAACTCAAGCAGTCAAAACTGTTTGTCCACTTGCCATCCCATCCTTCTTGTGGAGGTCACCATCCACATTGACAGATCAGTGAACAGCATGTGAAGTATTTCCTAAACTATCACAGTTTACAAATCGTCAAGTTAAAGCAAGCTGAAGCCAGCATTGATTTAGGTCACTATGTCAGACTAACTGGTGGTTCAGGAAGTGCTTTATAAAGTTATCAGACGTCTCCACATCAGTGGAAGAAAGGTGAGGAGGGAAGGAAAATGGGTGAGGGTATTAAAAAAAAAAAAGTAGTATGGAGGCAAATTACACAAGCAGTTGTAATACTCCTTTATTTGTCTTAGTAATATGAGCAAAAGAAGACTCAGAGCTGAACATACCTGACAAAGCTCTGTTTATGCCAAACATTCACTTTGTCCAAAGATTCACTCACGTGGTGACAGTATTTGTGCATTTCTTGCTCTCAGATACCTTTTTTGTTGTTTCATGTATTTCTGCTTAGCAGCAATATGTAAAATGAGTATTTGTGCGAGCACCTACTTTAATCAGTCTACTACCTGAAAAAATAAAAGCATTTTACAGTACTAAAAGGAATAATGGAAAATGATTTCTTGGAAGTGAGCCAAGTTTTCCTCTCATCGATATTCAGCACCAGTGTCATAGCAAGCAGAAGAAAAAAGAAAGCAAACACAAAACATAACAAGCAGAAAGCAGACAGAAGGAAAAATGTTATTTCTTAATTTAGAGGAGAAACTCAGGGCTTGAACCTTTGTTTATGAAATTCTCCTTGCAGTGACCTGTATTTGCAGGGGACAGACAAAAAAAGATTTTATTTCATCTTGCATTATTCGGTACCTATGCAGGAAGTTAAGGGATACATTTCCAGAAATAATGGAGCCAAAAATGTGCATATGTGTATCTCAGTCTTTAACAGATAGTATTTTTTCCCCTTCATCTTGCAATGTACCCAAGCAAAAAAGCCAGCGAATACAGCACACAGCTGCCACTAGTATTATATGCCATAAATTCTGTGAAGTCTGTACTTCACAAAAGCTGTTCACTTCCTCATTATTTACCAGTAAGAGGGAGACTGGGTGAGGAAAGAGAAGCAAAATGAGGGTTTTCAGGACACTGACAGACAATGTCTGATGGTTAGGTCAATTATTCATTGATTATCAGCATAAATACTATCTCCACCAGTGTCATTATTTTAGATTATTACTTTAAATTCATCTTCCTCTACCTCCACTTTCTTTTCATTGCTATAGCTAGGGAAGAAGAAGCAAAAGCATTTAAAAAAATATAATGCTTATTTTTATTAGGTACCTCCTTTCCTATGACCTGTTGCAAAGAATTAATTGGCATCACTGTTGCAGCTCTTTGCCTGTCTAATAAGGGAGTAACAATATCACATCTTTGCTGCAAGATGTATGATCAGGGTAAGTTTAAAAGTGACTAAGTCTAATTAAGTGTTAGTTAGATTTAGTCTTCTAAAGTCTCGTAGATACTTCTAACATTTTCCCCAAAGTATATGGCATCAGACAGACCAAACCAAAGGCAGTTATTCAGAATTTTTAAAAGTTAATAGACCTACAAAATAAGTTTTAGAAAGGACTCCCATCCCTTGAGATCTAATTGACCACAGAAGAAACTAGGCATTTTTGTCATCCTGTTACCAATAAATTATTGTAAAGTTTATGAATCCTTGTTTCATAGCTTTTGGTTAATTTTACCAAAATATATAAAACTCATGTAGTGGTTCCTCAAATTAATTTAACAATGAAATGTACCTTTACAAAACATACCTTGATCTGTTTTAAAATACTTACAACAAGGAAAAATTCTGTGCTCTCAGTTGTGAACTTCCTAGAGAACAAACAGAACAAGAAATCTGCAAAAGTGTAAAGGCAGGCAGAATTTGGTTTCTGTGATCTATCTGTACTACAATGTTTTTTTCAGGAATTCATTCATCTTTGCAAATACTTACATGGAAGGCACAATAAATGAGCTATATGTAAAGATTCATACCAAGATACTCAACACCAAGTCTTTCACATGACTCCAAGCAGGCTTTTTTTGTGTTTTCATAGCCATAATCACTATGCCACAGTTTGGTAGTTATCCAGAGGTCCTCTCGCTTCACATCACTCTCTTTGATGGCCTTCTGGAGGAGAGATTCACAGCCATATCTTTTTGCTGTGTCAATATGACGAATGCCGCATTTTTGTAATGCGTGGACCACAGCATCATGGGAATAGCCACCTTGATGGGAAGTACCTAAACAAACGAAATCAGAAGTGAATTGTCAGCAGTGAATTATGAAGGACATATTTTACAATTCTTTTTGTTTTCCTTTTTTTGTATATTGTCACAGAACCTTCTTGTTCAGTTTTCATTTCCTAATAGTAAAGAAATGGGAACTGACAGATCTCTAGGCTGGGAAAATACCTAAAGTGGTAGAATGTTGATGCTGATCAGAAATAACTCCACCAAAATCAAATACCAACAGCTTTTAACTGTAAAGAAGTGATTTCAGAAGTCAGGCTGAAGACCATCAAAGAGAAAACACACACTTTATGGAAAATTAATATACAGCACTTAATTTTCATATAGAAGCACAACATTTACAGATGAAAATATTAACAATAAGAAATAAAATATAACTTAAAAAAGCAATTTACTATGCAGAAAGCATATCCTGAAACCTTTGCTCTGTTGAACTCCTGGTGGCTTCAAGTTATTATTGCGTTGTACAACACCAGATCGGGCCATACTGCAGGTGCAATTCACAATGTCAAGCTCAGCAGTAACCAAAACAATGGCATCCTAGCAAGAGTTACAGAATGGGCATAGAGGGGGGTTCAGTAACAAAGTACTGTAACTCTCATTGTGTAGGTATTCACTGGATGTGTATTTTGCATGTCAAGAGGACGGAAGGAGGAGGAGACTCAGCAGGCAAAGCAACCAGCAGGAGGATTGTCAGATAAAGAACTGGTTGAGAGCAAGGAGGATGATGTTTCTACTTACCCTTTCCTGCTAGTTGTTTTTCCTGCCATGAGCCCCTCACCCATTCACCCTCACTCACACACTTCCCACAAACAGTATTTTCTACAGTTTGTTGGAGGAAATGCTCAGTCAGTTCCAGTCAGCTACCAAAGCCAGCCTTTAAGATGATGATTAGTACTTAAAGGCCCTAGTGCTATAAACAATAGTCAGCATGCAAATGGCTACGTCACTAAATTCAGAAGGGCCCTGTACAGTTGTGACAGTTGACAGCAATAGGGTCTTCAGCCACTGCTGAATCTAAATAAAGGACTCCAGGTCAAAGAAGAATAATATAAAGCGAAACTTATATCTGCTGTTAACTTTCTCTTTCCTTCCAAACATAATATTTACTTATATAGCAAACACTATCTGCCTGTTATGAAATTAAAAAATGTTTATGGCCACCCAGACTGTCAGAGAAAGGAAACAAATGAAAACATACAGAGTTACCTTAGACTCCTCTTTAGAACCTTCCATACCTGAACCGGAGAGAGAACGTCCACAGGAGTCTGCATGACTTTCTCACACACGCCGTAATAACGCATGCAAGAATCAGGAGAACTTACAAAAGTCCTACTTGCACGTAAGGCAAGCCAGGTTCTCCTAAATGCTTATCATTTTTGTTCATTCCTATCTCAGAAGGAAAGCCAATAACACCACTGTAGTTGTGCTCAACACTCCCAGTCATTTAAAATAAGACATAATATGGTCTGACATCACACACTTATGTATACCTGAGGATCATGACATTCTGCGGATCACTATGGGACAATCCCCACTTTATGTTTATGACCTACAAAATATGGAGTATTGAATTTTGATTTACCTTCACAGATTTTGAAGTGAATAAATTATAATACTATATTCCTACAATTTTGACATGCGTATCAAGTATTTTACCTTCCAAATGTAAAGAAAGTTTTAATGTTTTAAAAGACAAAACTTTAAAACTTTTTTCTCCATAGTCACTAATTATGATGAATAATTGGCTTAATTTCTGAGTCATCTAGAAATAGATGTCCCTATAAGTTGTTTTACATCAAAGTAAGTCAAGCTAGATCAACTTTCATTTTCAAAATAGCTATTTCAAAATCTTCATGAATGTTTAAGAATTTTATATGAATGCAATGCTACTATGTTGCAGCTGTGGGCAAAGAATATATATGCAATCATTGCATTATTCAGATCCTAAAGGAATTTTATTAAAGAATTATATAACCAGCATAGAAAAATTACTATACTTTTTCACAACAATCCCTTCACTTTTCATAAGCTGGTATTGCTGCCAAATAAATGAGGTTGTAACTACTGTGTCTGTTTCTGGCTGAATGGCCATTTCTAAGCACAGAATGAATGGAGTTCATTTAGAGGTCTTGCAAATGGACTCAGACTCTTTTCATGCATAATGGATTTCAGTAAGAACATTTAGGACAAACAACTTTTTTTTTTTTTAAATTTAACCCTTTTAAGTTAAAAGGAGACAGTGGGAAAGAAGGAGAATTCAGAATAATTTTGTTATTGTTCCCCATTCAGTGATGGCATGCACACTTGTTTCATAGGCAATAGACCAAGATCAGTCTGGAGGGAATTATCTCAATTTCTGTGCCTAAAAATGAACTACAACAGTCCTGATGCACTAAATAGTAATGAAAAAGAATGCTTAAAAATTATTTAATATTACCACTTTGCAAGCCAACTTAATCATGAACAACAGGTTTCTAAGTTAATTATGCTACTAACATAACAGCTTCTAGACTTTAGAAATCACCATTTTCTTGTGTTTACTCACGGGATTAAATATGTTACAATTCATAGATGCAGAAGGGGGACAAAAGAAGGTGGAGTGACTTAAATTTATTTATTTTTTAATGTATTTTAAATCGTGACAACATTATTTGAACACATTAACATTCTTACATGTTTGGGGTTACCCTTTGTTCACAGAGATGTAATTCACACTGTACATCTCTAAAGACAAAAATCCAATCTTGCATTTAAAACTAATACGAATTAGCACCCATTCCATTCCCTTACTGTTTCTAAAACTATTCAATTAATATATTTTTATTCTAGAATTCTCTGATAAAAATAGGAATTCCTTTAATAAATGAAGTCAAATATAAATAAGTCTGAAAAAGCTCCCTGTTTTTTAGCTAGTTTTCCTTGGGGAACAGCACTGTTCTCTCACTTACTGAACTAACCCAAATTTGACAGATCTGAAGACGTCCAAGATAATTACATTCCTACAGATTTTGTGAAAATTGGTGGTTGGGAGGAACAAGGATATTACAGTGGAAATATGGATAGGTCAAAGGACACAAATCCATTGAAAACTAGGCTTAATTAGTTACATTGTTATTTTGTCATGGTTACTCATCACTTTCTTGATACTCTGAAGAACACTGCTATCAAATCTGGGATGAGAAACATGCTCTGGCAATCCATAAAAAGTTCCAAAGATTATTAGGAAGGCAGAATCCTGTTCTCAATGCAGTTGCTACAGGGGAAAAAAAAAACAAACAAAAACAAACCAACTCCCAAAAAATCGAACCAAAGTAATCAGCAACCCCCCCAACACGACAAAATCATCAACATCCCTCCCCCAATCCCCCCTCAACCCCACCAAAATGTAAGACAACTAATAAACCAAAACACTACCCCCGCCCCCTCCCAGTTTTATGCACCATCTCAGCTGACTCTCAGCCTCATTAAACTTTCTGTTCTCCTTCATGGAAGCTGCAGAACTACAGATTAGAAATCCAAAGCAGCAACAGTTTTTCAAAGGAGACTCAGGACCTACTTTCTCTCCCTGCTTTCTCCCTCCCTTTGTGGAAGAGTGTGTCGTCATGTTCTTTGTGAAATGTGAAAGTATTATTTATCTGAATACATAAAAATATTCAGTGACATGAATAACTTTGGCTATTTGAAATTAATGGAATCACCTAACATTAGAAGAATTCCTGTTAGTGAAACCGCAGCCAGGCTATTTAGAGACGATGTCAGAGATTAATGATCTTCTGACATCAGTACTAAATTAAAACAGCTGACAAAAAACACACCTACAGAAATGCCCATTCCTTTGCTGATTTTTTAACTCCAAGTAATCGCTTGAGAAAAAACTCTCCAAACAAAAGCTCAAACATCCTTTTATCAGTGTTTACATACTCGTTGTGTATATATGGTATTGTATACCATAACAGGCTTGAAATATCTTGTTCTATTAGCTTTATTGCTATTATTTCAACATCAAGGCCACATAATGCATCTTATGAATATATTAAAGTTTTTGGTGTCAATACAGTTTGATTTCACTGATTACCTTATGAGCATATTTGATGATAAAACAAAATGTTGCCTATACATAGAACAAATGATCATATAACACATTTCAATGTGTTTATTGCTAATGCATTCACAAAACCACATGCCTCTTCTATAGAGTGTCCCAAAGACAGACAATCCTTACTTGCTGTCCTTGCTTACTGTCTCACCTACTTCTGTATTCATATGTTCCTCTGACAAGCTGATTCAGATCGTTAAATGGCCAAAAAACCTGAATAACTCCCCAAAAGGGCAAGGGATGGGGCAAGAAAAGTTCCTCCTTTAGCAGCAGCTGATATATTCAGTGTTCAAGCCAACCACCAGATGATCAGAAAGAAATTCTCCATGACCTTGTCTCCTGGAAACTTTCTTTCCATTATGTTCCCCAATGCCATCCCTAGAGCTGCTCTCAGACAACCAGGTAATGTCACATTAACTTTCCATAACTACAGCCCTAGAACCCAAGTGGTCTTACTGCTACATTTTCGCATAGTTTTTACTTAACAGGGTCAGTTACTCTGAAAAATCATATCTAGCATCACATGACAAAGTATTCATAGCATCCTCTCTCCTTTTGTAGACTGTAGGGCTTTCCTCTGCAGCAAGTGAAATCAAAGTCAAGCTCATTATGAAGCTATTATACTCTACAATTTTCATAAAGTGACTACAGAGTATTTCAAGTTATAGGATCCAAATTTAATCACAATCACTTCTACAAAATAACTTGGACATTTTACTCAGAGTCCAAGAGTGGCATCTAATGTATATGTAAAGGAGCAGCTGCCCTTGCAGTAACAGAACCTATAAAGATGACAGGGTTCTAGAAGAACGGGTAGGACAATGTCAATGATAATGGAAAGGCACTGAGCAGACTTGTATTATATAACCAATGCCTTGGTCAGAGCTAAAGCAGCACACAGGCTTAACTAAAACTCAGTCATTTAAGGCCAAAGCTGTACAAAAGTTGTAGGAATAATTGCATTTTGTGAGGCTACAACACAAAAATGCCAAAGCAGTGCCGTAACTCCAACAAACAGGTGCAGATAGAGGTTGTTGTGTACAAACGTGGTACAATGTGAGCTAGAGGAGTTGAAGTATGGGCAAGAATTTGCTTCTGCAAACCTCAAAGATCAGCGAGGACCACCCTGCCAGCACCACAATAAGGCAGGTACTTCCATACTGTAACAACATACTGATATAAGAAGATTCACCAGAGAATTCCTGATAGACGTCTTTGCTGCATTTACACACATTTTAGGCATTACAGCTGTACTGTATGGATGTGGTATTTTCATGTTCCTAAATAATATTACTATGCTAATGAAACACTGTTAATAGACCTGGCCTATGTAAAGTGTAGAGATTACACCATGAAGTTTCTCTTGCCTCTGTAAAAGCTATCTCGATTATGAATATTACTTGTGTGTGTATATATATATATAAAAGTTTTACATTGGTAATGTTTCTCATTTTTTTGCTAAATACGATCCATTGCTTAGTGCCAAGTGGTCACTCTGGGACTATTTTTCTCCTGTGTGACTCAGTTAGAATAAGCTCATAGAATTCAATAATATGAGGAAGAAAAGTAGGCAAGCATGATTTTAAACTCTGCAGTTCTATGCAGGCAACTCTACACAGGCACCAAGAACAGAATGCAGGAACAGAGCCTTGCCGCAATGCAAAAGGGCAGGCAAGAGCCATTACATGTTTATTATGTATCCAGGGAAAGGGAAGCCAGAATTGCTAGTTTTCTCTCTTCCTGAGAGGAAGGAAGAAATGGCAATTTGCCATTGTTGACAGAAGCATTCTATTCCCTCCATCCCAAAGAGGTTC